TTTAAAGGCCCATTTTCATCCGAGATCCTTTGCAGTCGTTTGTTTTTGTTTTGGAATCGCGCTATTGTTAAATGGCGAACTCTGATAGTCATTCACAAACACTATTAAAAAGAAAAACAAAGATTTGGTGAAGAACACAGTAAACAAATTTGCAGCTAAATATCTGAGACTGAAAATCATAAATCGAGTCTGTGTATAAAACTTGTACAAAGCTTACTTGATGTTGAAGGAAATTGTTCGGCTTCAACACAAAATAAAATATAAAAAAATAACCAATATCGGCCAAAACGGATTTACTTTACGCATTTCAGTTATAGAATAATGACTTATACAAATGAGATCGCTTACATACATATCTCAAGATCTCAAGTAAAAATCAGTCAAATAATTATTCTCACCTCGAAAAAATCTCCCCGGAGTCTCTAGTTCCATCGTAGGAACAATGCAATAACATTTCTGCAAAAGCACTGTCTGTAGTGTTATCGAAACCCATTGTTGTTTTCCTTGCCCTCCATATATCATACACAGACTCTCGAAGTCGAATAACCTTTGCCGAGCCGCGCAGACCCGGCCTTCCACTAGACCGCTTCTTCGGCGGCATCAACATTTCAAATGACGTTTTTCACCGTCATAAATGTAAGAATTAAAAACTATTTACTGATATCGATACTACGATAGTTTGTTGTTCGCACATGATTCAAGATGGAACTTTGAAAGCCCTAATTAGTAAGATGGAAGAAGATATCAAAGCGATTCCGCAACTTCGAGGAAAATAGCGTCTTTTTCATATATGAAAAATAATCTGGGCGCGCAAGGCATCTCGATTGAAAATGGGTCTTTAAAAAACATTACTTTTAATTAATTACTTATTCTTATAATAATCTGTTGTTAGGCGCATTGAGATTAGAAATGCGCCCTATAAGCATCTACTTATTATTATTATTATTATTATTATTTCACCCGTGAAAAGTAAAATCGTACCATCTTTCTAGCTTCACAAACAGCATTCACATCGCTGCAGCGTACATGAACTTGAGGTTGCGTGTTATCGTCCATTACTGGTGCGCCTGGGAAAAACAAATTAACACCTTTCAATGGTCTTCATTCAAGGTGGCATTTTAAATTCTTGAGACGCAACTTGTGCATCGAACAAGATAACTGAATATTTCTAACTTCTAAAGTGATGCTTACTCTCTAACATATCTTCAATTGCGTAGTAGCAAAAGCGTCTAGATGGGTAGGCTGAAAGCCTACAGATTTTGGTAAGTGGGTGGGGAGAGTTTCATTGTGTGTTGTTTTACCCGGTAGTGATCGCCAGGGGGGGTAACCTGATGGTCTTTTTTAAGAACGACTGCTCTGCGTGATAGAACCTGAATGTTCTGTCTATCACATGGGGTCGAGGTTCAACTTGAAGGGTCAAAGTAGCTATTGGACGCTCGTCCTTGTTCCTGAATGACACCTTAAGGAGAGGAGTAAAGAGAGACCAGCATATAATTTCTCCTTACAATATCACCCTTGAATCAAACATTAAGGTTAGGAGAATAAAAGTAATTTTCACCAACTAAACAAGCCCTTGATTGTGAAACAAATCAAGTTTTCCTTGTCAGCAGCTTATATATAAAAACTTTTGTTAAGGTGTAAAGAGCTAATTTAGTTGCCGTGAGCACGGAGCACAGAAAAGCACGGAGCACAGAAAAGGAAATCGAAACATTGACCAGTTATAACATTAGACCAATTTGGTGGAAAGAGGAGAAAGCCTGGTGACGAGGTCGATCTGGGAGCCACATACTGCGTATCACAGGGGTGAGCAACACCTTAAGAGTTATGAGCGGAAAAAGATGGCGAGCTTAAGTTATGTGCGGAAAAAATAACCGAACTTGAGATCCAGAATCCCTCTCTCTTTATCTTTAAACATACAACTAAAAATAACGAGGTGTGACGGACCAGATCAAGTAAATCCCTCAACAAAATTACATGGTCGAATGACAAAAAGCTTCCGCAGTCGCCTGAACGCGTCTCTGTTTTCCTCTTAAAGTGTCTCCATTCTCTTGTGTCTGTTATAACTCTGCAAAGGAAGTAAACGGAATATTGAGAAATATTTTCTTTGATAGAGGAATTCAATGAGATCAATGTTAACTCCGCACCGGGCATAGCACTTAAGGCGCTTACTCTCAGTTGAACTAGTTTACTGTCAGTTAGAACTACCATTTACAAAAAGAATTCCGGGACCATCAGTAAATTCCAGATTGTAAGCTCAACTCCAAACGGAGTGATATGTCTTCTGTAAATGCTTTTGTAACCACCTACATTTTGAGTGGTATTTTGCGATGACGATTTTACTCTATCTTAAGATGTTACATTTATCTTAAGACGACGAGATCGACGAGGAACTTTGCACACGCACACAATAGCCTTCTGGGGGCCGTTAAGTACTAATTGTGAGACGAGACTGGGGAGAGGTTACTTACACTCTTGCAAAACGTTCTCCCCCTCCTCCTAAACTGGTCACCCGGTCGGTCAATTCCGACTGATGGTAATCAAAGCAACCCAACTCAAGAATATCTCAAGAATATTTGCCTTAAGTGTAACGAGCTTTTAAACAATCGACACATCAGTAAAAACGAAGTGTCATTGATGCAAAAATACGTTACTTGCAATGCAGTATACGATTGCAAATCTACTAGCTCCGAGGATAGCTGTTTAAGATAAACTTATTTATTTACGTACTTGAGTTCATTGTCATTGCAGTGAATGGCAACTGTCTGGTCAGTGGAGTAAGGATTTGTCAGCACAAACTCGAAAACTCTGCTCTACCGAATGACGGGTAGATTGTGTGGCTGGTCGGGATGTTACCCGCCAACGAAGCAAGGATCTTCTCATGTCTGAGCTTCTCTCTGGTAAGAAAAAAAACATTTTCAATCTACTGTGTTCATCGTAAGAAGAGAGCAAGTATCTCCTTCCAGGCCCGCTCATGCTTGATAAAGACTACTCGAAGAATATCATGGGATGAGAAATAATTTGCTATCTGCATTATGCAGCTCGGAGGAGTGACCTTAAACGCAGTGACACAATATTTGTAGGATAGGGTGAGTAGTTATCCTCCTGGTTGTTAACAGATACAGGAAAAGATGAAGACAACTTCATTTTCAGATTGCACATCCTGTTTTACGCATCATTTAGGAGCCCCCACAGCTGGATTACATTCAGCGCGGGCGCTCTATTACAAGACTAACTGGTCTGAAGAGAAATAAAGGTCGTTCTCTCCAAAACAAGGTCCATTATTTATCTTTTTAATGCAAAAGTTAATCCTTTTAGTCATCCTCGTTTTGCGGTAAGACTTTGATAAACAAATCTTGTCGGTAAAAAAGCAATGCAGCTGTCAGAATTCTAACAATGATAACTGTAAAGATGAAGCTCAAGACCTGAGAATTTTTCCAGTTTGGTACTCCAGTGTAGTTTCTTGTTATAAGGGAATTCAAAACAACTGTCAAGTCGTAAAATAGAGACAGAAATAAACAAGGAAAATCAGCACACTGAAAAGGGGCTATGTCATGTCCTTCAGCTCATGAACGAAAACGGGACTCTCCATTCAAGCTCCCCTTGGTAAACTGTCAGGAAACATTTTAAAGAAACTGTGGGATCCAATAGGACAGAATTACTTTAAAAACACCTATAGTTTCTGACACGAATACTAGCCTTTACTGTGTATAACTGACCCGTAAAGGTGAATGGTTTTGAGGTCTCCTGTTCTTTGTAGTTTCTCTTCTTTTTGAATCTGACAACAAATAGATGTTTCATGAGTGTGATTGTAGATGCGCACCTTGAAAGTAAACGCTGAATGCTGAGCAGCTTAAAGACGGTGGGATAAAACTACAGAAAAACGTTGTTCGCCTTGAAAAGTGCGTTAGACATGAGGAAAATCTGATTTCTCAACGAAGAATTCAGCCCTAATGCTACACCACTGAGCTTCAAAAAACTCTATAGTGAATTTGAACGTTACGAAATTCACGTGACCCACATCCTGCATACAAATAGGATCTCTAGTGTCGAAAGCGTAAAATGAGTAAACAGGATAAGAAAGAGGGATATTTTTAATTTCGGTAGTGGAGTAAAGAAAAAATGATATTCGTCTTATGAGGAGCGTGGGATATGGAATACAAACAAGTATAATAGAAAAAGAATGATCATAAAATCATGTGGCAAGAGTCGACTTACAATTAAATTGCCCGTAGAGGTATCAGCACCTTGGATCTGCCGAACCGCCTGCATTCTTTCAAGTTTTCTGGGTCAAAAGTAAGTGGAAGGTTGAATATCAAGTGATTACGAAGTTGGTTGGGAATATCACTTCCCCGCTAAAATAACCGAGTTTAATCGAAGGAAAATGGGCTGACCAAGTCGGAACTGGTATCAGCTATTCGTCTGGTTGGTTAATCCTTTCGCTCCCAATTTCTCTATGAAAATTCTCCTTATTGTCTGCCTGAGAATTTGGTGTTGGATCAAATGATAATCCTCTAGCTATTGTGTTCTTCTATTTTCATTTCATGTCTGTTTGTATTGATACTGTTCGGAGAAATTTGCTCTTGGTCGCTCTTGAGAGAGAAAGAGAGGGTTTTGAGGAAGCCGGTTTTTCTTATGAAACAGACAGCACCCGTGTTAAAAAAAAAACAAAAAACAAATAATTATGGATTACCATCAACACTCGATACAAAAATTTATTTTAACTATAAAAGAGGTCAAATATTACATCCCCATTGAAAGCCACACGGTTACAATACTTTCAATGTAAGACGTACGAAACTACTAAGTCCACAACTTAAACTCAACTGACCTTTTTCTTATAGCATCAGCTTCTCTGACTGGCTGATCATCTTTGGTTATCTTTTCCTGCCTGCTGAACAACACAGCAGAAAGTTCTGCGTCACATTCTGCCATTTGCTTGGCCTTGATTTTAGTACTTTTGTTTCCTGTAAATCATGATAGTATCAGCAAGGAGTCAATCGAAAGCGATAGAACAGCAAGGGAAATCGAACGAAAGCATTTGGCAACGCCCCTGAAAACCTCCCTCGAGCCCCTCAGAAACGCACTTGTGTTTAACCGTAATTAGATAGATCAGTATAATATTAAATTACATCGTATCCTTAGACTTCACGCGTCTGAATCTCAAGTTACACATGGCAGAAATTACATGCAGAAATTCCTGGTAGAGCAGCTTTTCGCAGAATTTGCAAAGGTAACTTTTTGTTACCTATACTCTACACATTAACTAACAACGCGCTCACAGAAAAAAACAGCTATCTGTGTTCTGGGTATCGTCCCACTCACTACTCGCCAGTAGGTGCGTTAGCTGTTCCTGTTTCTGTTACAGTTTCTGATATCACAACAGTGGAGAGTTTCTTGGGTACAGTTCCTGACACAATATATAAGACCACTATGAAAATCCTATTTCAATGTGGTGTCATGAAAATCGTACGGCCAGAATGCAGAAGCGGGCACGAAACAAAGCTAACGAGAACTCGAGGACAACTTCTCTTAAAAACATACATTTGCACTCTTCTAGAACTTGATTGGTTACACGTGTCCATGAGTTGCCTAACATAGCGACAGTCAAATTATTCTTCCGTAAAAGTATCCTATCAGATTAAGGACGAACATGAGTAGATAAGGAAACGACGTACAATACCGTTCTGGTAAACCGTCATGCGGAGCTCAAGCAGCGTCACCGGAGAGGAGATATGTCAATGTGCACCTGTAATTTCACTATGAATATCTTATACTTAGGCTCCTTTCCTGGGCGTAGAACCTTCCATATTCTTAACCCCTGGTATGTCGCACTATTCATTCTGCTACTTTCTTAAGGGTCGAGATAATATGAAATCTTTGGAGATTTTCCATCGCTTACCCAGCTTTCCTTTCGGTCCTTCACTGGTATGGCCAATGTTTGCGACTCGCACATGCAGTTTGGCTTCTACTGCAGACTTGATACCAAATGGGCGAGCTGTACCAGTTCGAGTCTGAGGAAGACAACTGAACCATTTTCAGATACCTATTCCCGCTAGGGTCCTATGAGCGTTCACCAACTTGAACGCGAGCGAAAAGGGGTGAACTTGACGAGAATGGGTTGGGACGAGGGCGTGCTGAAACTATCTCGCACTAGTCTCTTCTCGTCTTTTACCCTCGTATCAAGAGAAGATCAGACTGTCTTAAGCAATCTACCTTTATAGCGACAACTCACAAGATGAAGCGGTTGGAAAAGTGACTGGACGTTATTAGTGGGATTTAAAACAATTATCCTTACCATGTCGCCACTTTGCATGGCTGCTTCTTCCGAAAATTCGGTGGAAACCACATCCAATTCATGCGCCACCACTACAGCTTCACGACCTTGACGTAGTAAATTCTATAATGAAACATAATGAAAATCTCACCAACTGCAGTAGGTCACCGGCGCAAACGCTAATGGTCCACTAGTTTACACTGGTAATTTTCCGTACTTGGATTACAATGGTCCGACTGCTCGCTCCGTTGGTAGTTATTCTTAAGAAGAAGAATAAATAGAAAATTCTTTTTTTCTCCGATCCCACTTTATCTCTCTTCTTCTTCCTCCTTACGAAAAGTTCTCAATGAAACAGGATAAAGGAGATTTCAAGATGATTGAGGTGTTAACTACAACCCTTGTCAAAACTCTTGGAACACGCAAGACCAAACGGTTTAAAATGAAAACATGTAGAGCCATGTGATCAACAGTTACCCTCCCCTCCCTTTTCCTCTTTCAGAGTTGATAAGAGCCCTGGAAAAATTTTAAAAAGCTGCCGTTGTTTTCAACGTTGCTTAGGGGAAGGAAGATGGACTTAACGCTGTTATCAGAATAATTTTGACAATTGGCAAAACACGTATTTATACAATCGTTTTGGATTTCATGCATTACAAGCCTACGTTAATTGAAAAGTACCGAAATTTTTGGGGTCGAAACTTGTCAGTAGGTTATATCGTCTGGGTAACACGGTTACCCAGATCGTCACTGAGGAGTAACTGACTTTAAATCTGTGAAATAAATATACAGTAGTTTCCAATACCGCAAAACAAGGGCTTTTTTTTTATTTCTCTGATGAGACTTCAACCGCAGTTATTTCTCCATGTTGAACTCGACTTCGCTTACTTAATTCGGAAGTTTCCCTAGTTCACGTCCAGGGCAGGACATTTGGCACATTTTTTTTTATTTGTTTATCTTCATTGGCTCCCGGTCACAAAACGAATTCAATTCAAAATACTGTTGATAACATACAAAGCACTAAATGACATGGCTCCAACCTATCTTGTTGAACTTCTTAGTCGATATATTCCAGCACGAAACCTCCGTTCATCAAACATGAATCTACTTGAGGTCCCAACAATTCGAACTAAAACGTATGGGCAAAGAGCATTCTCCTACGCTGCACCGTATTTGTGGAATCAACTACCTGAATGCATAAAAAACGCCGAATCTGTTGACTCCTTTAAAAGCTTATTGAAAACTTATCTTTTCAAAAATTAAGCCCCCAGATTTTTTTTGATATCGTACGTTCTCAAATATATGTATAACACGTAATAATTCATTGGTTTAGATAGAATAGCGAAAATTACAGGATTATAGGATTTTTATTGAAATTTTGTTAATTGTAATTGTAAAGCGCATAGAGTTCAGTTTTAATGCGCCATATAAGAACTTATTATTAAATTAAATTAAATTTTGTTTCCGGACGGAAAAAGCTCGCGTAACAGGGTCTGCTCGTAGTGTCTACCATACCTTGACAGAGCGAGAAACTGGATGACAATCTCATTTCTCAGAAGTTGATCCAAAGCTTCGTTATTTAAAGGTAGTGGTAATTCCTCTCTGGAATCAATCACTTGTGGAAGGTTACCACGGTGGTCAGTAATGGTCGGAAATCAGCACTAGACAGGCGTGCATAAGCGGCACGGGTCATTGTTGACGGTGCACTGTAAGATTAGCAAGAAAAAAATTCACTTTTTATAAATATAACTGCATCAATATTTGGTTTGTGTGTGCATATAGACGTATAAGCTAAAACCTTTTAATCTGTTTCCCGCCTGGTTCTGATTGGCTACATTAGCGGACGATTTTCACCACCGTCTAGATTGCCCGATTCGTAACCACAAAAACGCACTTTTCATTTTATATTTTGATAAAAAAAAGAATAGTTTCCTTCAAGCTGACTAAGCTTTTTATTTCAAGATGGATGGATGCAAGAGAACGTAAAACAGTTTGCATTCTCTTTTGGATGTTAGTTCAATTTTGTTTTCGTAAAACTGCAAAATGAAATAGGCCAACATCCAGCTATACTGACCTCACACTTGGTCACAAACTCATACTTATCATTATAAATTCCCTTCCGTAATCAAGAAGATAATAACTTTGTGCCTCACGACTGATGCACTGTTACGATCAACTTACCTATTATCCCTTCTTAACTTATGGTTTAATCTCTTGGGGTAACACCTATTCTTCAACTACCCAGCCTATGTTCATTTTACAAAAGAAAGCAATGCAAGTGATTACTTTCTGTAAATTCCATGAGCATTCTAGTCCAATCTTCAAGTACCTAGATATTGTGAAACTGCCTGATCTTGTTTTTCTTAGTATTGCAGTTTTTTATATGTGCACGATCCTTCGCAGTAAAGCACTATTAAGCAATAGTGAAAATCAGACCTGAAAAAATTCAGGCCTGTACGGGATTCGAACCACTGGCCTCTGCGATACTAGTGCAGCGCTCTACCAATTGAGCTAACAAGCCAACTGGGAGCAGGCCTNTGTTGCTGAATGACTTACAAACGTTCTTTATGTGCTCCTGCCATGATAGCTTGCTGTCAATTGTCACCCCAAGACATTTAGATGATGTTTTGTACTCAATAAAGCTATTACCAAAGGCCAAGCGTGGCAGGGGGCCAATAAAGTTCTGGCTAGAAATTATCAGGGCTTCAGATTTCGATTCGTTGGCGATTAATCTGTTTGATTGACACCAGGTGTACAGCTGGTCTAGTACAGACTGGAGTGTTAAGATGATATCGTCGATGTTGTTTCCAATTGTAAAAATAGTGGTATCATCGGCAAACATAAATAATTCACCACTAGTTATTGATTCTGGAAGATCGTTTACAAATATTGAAAATAATTTTGGCCCTAGTATTGAGCCTTGGGGAACTCCATGTGTGATGGTTTTGTGCTCGGACTGATATCCTGATATTTGGACAAATTGTTTACGTGCAGACATGTAATCGGTAAGCCACGAATGCAAATCGCCAGATATCCCAATTGCCTTTAGCTTCTCTAGAAGGATGGTATGGTTCACTGTGTCGAATGCTTTTCGAAAGTCAATAAAAAGCACGCCCACTTTTAGGCCCTTGTCCAGCGCATTTTTCCAGGTCTCTGTTAGGTGAAGTAAGAGGCTTTCAGTTGAATAATTTTTCCGAAAACCCCACTGTCTATGAGATAACAAGCCTTGTGTGTGCAAATGGTTGTTCAGGGTATCACTGACAACATCTTCTAAGATTTTCCCAGGGATACTGAGGAGGGAGATAGGTCTGTAGTTGTTCGCTTCTGTTGGTGAGCCTTTCTTAAATATGGGGTTAACGCGTGATAATTTCCAGCTTGAAGGGAGGTTGGAAGCCAGTTGGCTTGTTAGCTCAATTGGTAGAGCGCTGCACTAGTATCGCAGAGGCCAGTGGTTCGAATCCCGTACAGGCCTGAATTTTTTCAGGTCTGATTTTCACCATTGCTTAATAGTGCTTAACTGCGAAGGATCGTGCACATATACGTTTCATAACCGCAGTTCATATATATGTATTTCATATGTTTGTTGATTGCAGTTTTTATGCATAAATTTCACAATAGACGCTTACCAGTTGCGTTTGATACTTTCTTCACGCAAGTTAATAAAAGACATAATTGTAATACAAGAAGTGCCTCAAATATGTCCTATACCTTACCTAAAGTACGAACAAACTTTGAAATATTCAATATAAGATTTCAGGGCCCCAAAGTATGGTACTCAACTACTGAAAATTTGAAAACCCTCTCTATCTCAAACTTTAAGGACTCAGTAATATGTGATCTTGTCAAAGAAAATTAGTTACTTCTTTTCTCATAAGCAGTTATGTTATTTTCAAAATTACTTGTAAATTTGTCTTTTGTTAAATTCTGTCACCTTTCCAGGTCTTCATGTTTTCTATTCATATGCAAATTTTCTTATTTCAGACTTCCTTCCTAGCTTAGATAGCATTTTTCCTCTCCTCTCCCTTCCTTTTTATATATTTATTTTCTTTTTCCGTGTGCATTTGTACTTCAGTTTTCTTGCTGACCTATAATTTATAATTTATTTTTATTTAATACCGATGTCAACTGGCTGCCTGGCTCCGTTAGCCCCAATGGTTATTCCAGGCAGCCAGTACTCTAACTTATAGTTTTAATATTCTCTTTGTTGTAACTTTTTCTAAGCAGGAGTGAGTACAAATAAAGATTGTTGTTGTTGTTCTAGGACTTGTCCCTGGTCCAGTCAGGATAAAACGAGAATGTGACATCACGGAAATACGTTTTTAGAGCACGATACAGTATTTTGCTGGTCAGCGGACACCTCAATGAAACCATAAATGCCGATAACTTTTACAATGTTTTCGCTGCGACTCAAATCGACAGCATAAAAAGGAAAAACTTAGAAAGAATACCGTACTCTTAGCTTTGAAACTCGAGTCACCTTTTGGATAGTTCTTATGCTCAATTTGCCAAAGCCGAACTGAAGTTGCACACGATATGAAGTTGTTGTTTTTCGCTGGCGGCTCCTTGGCAACTAAGTTTTGTTCCAGTACAAAAGAGCTCATACACTAAGGCTAAACATAGGCAAGCAACGCATGCTGTGGTTATTTTTTTGGATACGTGGGTTGAAATTGGACACTAAGTAACCGATGCTGGTGTCTGAATAATCGTTGACAAAAATAAACTGTATTGGTACCACGCTTCCTGCAGTCCCCTCCACAGCCCTAATTAGAATTCGTCACGCGACGCTCTCTCTCCATCGTTGCATGAGGAGACCAAGCAACGACCTACTCAGAGGTTATAATTGTGCTTACTGCCGTTCCTTCGTCAGAGATAAAGTCCTAATTATTACTCTGACCATAAAGGGCCAGAATAAGAAATTCCGTTTGGTTTTTCCTGTGTAGGAAAATGCACAATAGGCGTTACGTAGCAGTTTTTAATTGGCGTAAAGCAATGTGGTGGACATAGCCTGGGAACGAGGCTGAGTTTTGGCATCGAGTGTCACTCAGGCACGAGGTGTGGGCCGCGCATACTCATCTCTCGAGTGAACTTAAAAAAATATTTATCTGAATACTATGAATCACTTTTATTGTTAACGTACTGATGAAAGCAATAACCGTAGGAATAGTAAAAGTTCATTGATTGTTTAAAATTTGATTAATTAATGCAATTATCTTATATAGACATTGGCGATAGGATCCATTAATAGATTGCCATTACGGACAAAACAACTACACTTTTCTAACAAAAAAAAACTTGTGAAAGTCATTGACACATACATTTAAACTTCAGAGGTTTGTTATCAGATGAAATTGGGAGAAATCCTCGTAAACAAGAATCATCTTGTTCAAATGCATATTTTTATTGAGCGACCCACATTTCCTCTAGCGATTTTAGTATTTTCAAATCGTCATGGATGGCGTCAACTTGTTCCAAAGTCCTATTCTCCATAACTCTCCATGTTAACAAACAATGAAAAGCACTCAACAGCGATTTTGCTAAAGCAGCAAAGCCTTCAATTTGTTCCCTCAGTACAGCCCCTTGTTCAATAACGGTGAGTTACCTCAAAATATTCTTCCTTGTGACTTTACAGTGGAAAGCTCTACTTTATCTCTACCAGCCTCTGAATAAAGATATTTTCCGGTCTCCATTCTTGGAACGTGTGAAAATAGATTGAATGAAGAGAAAAGAATCATTTTGTAAATCATAACAACATGGGCTCCTTAATTGGTTGTTGGCCATTTGGACTTGCCCTGTACGTGCCAAATACAAGATAAAATGCAGGTTGTTTACAGTAGAAAACGTCTTAGCACGTGAGAGTTGCGTAGTAAATTGACCGACTGTACGATCATGTTCCTTGTGAAATATTTTTCAGTGGGGTAGAATTATCTCATAAAATTTACGTTCTTTACTGGAAAATGGTATTTCATCTAGGAAAGTCTAGTCTATACGGGCGAGTAAAAAGTAAACACGCAGGTGCAGCTGGAAAGAACCGTTTAAACAAGATTTAATTCATGGAGAGCTTTTAGAAGCAAAGAAACGGATATTCAACATGGCAGTCGACGCAGAATGTAAATGTAACTTGGTTGTCTATTCAGTAAATGTAAATGCAGTAAATGTAACTTGGTTGTCTATTCAACCTTTGCAAAAAGAGCAAACACAAGACGAAAATAAAAGATTATCAATCAAATATGGTTTATGCAAATGTTTGCGCAAGTTTTACCTGAGTGAGCAAAACTAGCCCTTCCAAAACAACACGCTCTGCTGCAAAATTCGTGTTAGGCCTTTAGCTAACGGTGTGTACATCGTAAGTGAAGGAGCGGTACACAAAACATGCACGTTTTAACTTGCTAATGGTAGAAAAAGTTCCCTGACGACCTTTCTAATGCCGACCGATCATAGCGATAAAGTCCTCACGAAGGACACGAACCATTACATTGAATGGATGAACTCACAACTCTTGTAGATGTCATTATTATATGGCTGTGTCTCACAAGGACTGGGAACTTCCGAATTCACGAATTTGATTGGCTGAAATCAATATTGAAAGCGGTCATTATTTTCCCATCTAGACCGAAATCTAGACCGGTCTAGAAAATAAAGGTACAAAGAATATAAAAAATTGGCATATAAGACACAGCCATATAATAAACATCTTATTAACCGAGCTAGGTCTAACTATGTCACTTGGCAAGTCATTCCAGATTTTTATATATTTATACCAAAAAGAGTTCTTGAGGATATTTGTTCGAGCATAAGGCGTCCAGATTTTGACATTGTTGGTAGATCTCGTCCGACTATTGGAGAAAGTTAAGTAATTACATAAGTCTACTCTTGAAAAACCATTAATGAATTTGAATAATTGCACTAAACTAAGAAATTCACGACGCGAGTTGAGTGTTGGCCAGCCAAGATACTTCAAACGTTCACTATAGTCGATAGAACTACCAAGGATCCACCTGGAAGCATTCCTTTGCACTCTTTCAAGCTTATCAGAAAGATATTGTTGATGTGGATTCCACACAGGACAGGCATACTCAACAATTGGCCGAACCATAGACTTGTATCCAATTGATATTGCTTCAGAGCTTTTCCCAAATGTGCGCTTTAGTAGGCCAAGTATCTTATTTGCTTTAGCAGCAACAGAGAGAACATGCGGTTTCCAAGATAAGTCAGATGATATAATGACTCCAAGATGTTTGTGTGTTTTAACCTGTTCCAGTGGGATTGAATTGATGTTGTACGAGCAAGGTGTTACAGATCTAGATCTCGTGATTTTCATACATTTGGATTTAGTTGCTTTAAGTTTCAAAAGCCACTTTTTACACCAGTCTACGATCTGAGACAAGCTTTCACACACAGGTTGATGAACAGATGATGGATGATCTGAGTTAAACAATAGAGTATCATCGGCAAACATTTCACTTGAACACGATAAGTTCTCAGGTATATCGTTGACATACAACAAGAACAACATTGGCCCAACAATACTTCCCTGAGGGACACCAGAGTAAACCATGGACCAGTCTGAGCTTTCACCTTCCAGAACAACACGTTGGAAACGATCTTGCAGGAAATCACCTAGCCACTCGAGAATCTGACCATTGATACCATATCGGCCAAGCTTAGAGATGAGATGTTTGTGTGGGACTGAGTCAAACGCTTTCTCAAAGTCCAAGAAGACGACATCTGATGTTTTGTTTTTATCTAAGGCTGATGCCCAGGAGTGAAATAGGCGAATAAGTTGGGATGTGCAGGAAAAACCAGCTCGAAAGCCATATTGATGAGGGCTTAACAAGTCATGATCTTCTAGATGAGCCATAATATGTCTTGTGACTAGCTTCTCTAGGGTCTTAACTACAAGCGATGTTAGAGAAATTGGACGATAGTTAGAAACATATTCTTTACCACCATTTTTGTAAACTGGGGTGATGTTGGCAGACTTCCAGTCACGAGGTAGTTTTCCTCTATTCAGAGACATATTGAATAACTTTGACAGTGGATCAGAAATTACAGAGGCTGCCTCCCGGAGCAAACGTGCAGACAAACCATCCGGGCCAGTGGCTTTATTCACATCAAGGGTAAGCAAAAGCTCTCCCACATTAGCACTAGAGCACATGAGATCTGGTATAACGAAGCCTGAACCATGTGAATGGGCATCCTCATCGACATCGGTAGCTGGGTCAGGGCGGGTAATTTGAATAGCAAAGGCTTTTTCCTCCAACAAATCCAAGCTGTGGAGTGATAGTTATTTTGTTTTAAAGAAGACCGCAGTACCCGTGACAGATTCATCTCCCATTGAAACCTCTGAATGAGACGAATTATTTTTGCAGTTACAGGAACCCAGCTTCGGTGCATGACTGAACTCAAGCCACTTGGAACTAAGTGAGAGCCCCAGTTGGCTTGCAACAAGTTAGAAATGATAGACTTGAAGATTGGCGGGTCTAAAACGCAGGTCACATGTCACGGGTCACAGGTCACGAGTTACAGGTCAAAGGTCATGGGTCACAGGTTACAGGTCGCGAACACTTAGACAACATACCACCTTGGTATGACCCAGGATGACGAGTAAAGGATTCGGTTTATTTTTTATCCTTTTTAAGTGACGATTTATTTTGATATTAAAATGTCAGTTTTTGCAATAGGTTTTGTCGTGGTTTACACTTGAATTTTTTTTGTAAAATCGACAAAACATGGAAAATTAAAGTAAATTCCGGTACTTCTGTGGCTTAGATTTCACGTCTTCCTAGACTTATTAATGAGCGTTTTTAATGTAAAGAGGCTATCAACTGTCTCGTGCATTCTTCCAAAAACAATCTTGTTCGAATTAAACTTTTCAGCTTTCTTTTCAGCGGCTTCAGTTGGACCACAAACAAATTCATGGGTCCAAAACCTATGAGCCCCAAAACACGCAAAAATCCAGCGGAGTTGTTCATTGCATGACACACTGAATGTTAAGTCTCACGAAATTCGATGTCCGGGATTTCTGGCCATGATGAATTCATCGAGCTATGAGGTAAGAGACTAAAAAAATTCAAATATAAACCAAGACAAAACCTATTGCAAAAACTGACATTTTAATATCAAATGATAAATCGGCACTTAAAGTGGATAAAAAATAAACCGAATCCTTTACTGGTCATCCCAGGTCATCCTAAGGTGGTATGTTGTCTAAGTGATCGCGACATGTGACCTGTGACCTGCGATTTAGACCCGCCGCTTGAAGATCATTCTTCGTATGCGTAAACACCGACAAAATTTATCAGAAACAGTTAGTTGCCAAAATTAACGCAGACAAAAGGCACAAGTTAATTGTTTCGAATTTGATTTTGTTTGTTTCAGCATTTACCTTTAATTTGCAATAGCGTTTTTATCTTTATTGCTTAGAATTAGCTTCAACGCAGTATTTCCATTCCAAAGTGTTTGAAATGTCGCGACTCGTGAGAATTAAAGCTGTGTTATTTTCGACGCGCGCCAGAAAGTCGCCTCTGTCGAATTGTTTACATTAGAATTTACCTCAATAGAGCTGAAGCTAAAATGAAACTTTCCTGTTCTTTTAAAATCATAAACACTGCATAATTACGTCAAGTAGTTGGTTGGAAGACATGAAATATTTTCATATTATTTTTATCGTGTCCAATTGATATGATATAGTGAAATATGGGCTCCTCCCCAACGAAGGATAATTTGTACTTGTCGCAAATGTGTCTTGATCATTTGCCGGTAATGTAATGTAGTTTTGTTATCGCAGGAGAATGCGACTGATGGGGTAAAGAAAATTTACTCGGTAGACTTATAACAGACATAAGAAGAAAGACAAGGGATGTTACTAAAAGTGGTAACGGGAACGAGGAACGAGGAACAGGGAACGGGGAACAGGGAACGGGTGTACAGCGGTAACCCACCAGAGAATTCAAAATGGCGGAGTAAACGGTGCTACAAACACTGATTTTATCGCTAGGTCGCCACTTGCAGCGAAATTAGACGACTCGCTTTTAATTAACTATTGCCCAGGCAAAGCCACGAAGCCTAGTATTCCGAGGCAAAAATTCGAAGTCAACGTTTCTGCGATGGCTGCCACCATTTGTTCCCACGTCTCTCTTTGTTTTTCCTTCCTGAAATCTGCATCTTTAGGCAGAGTTTGGGTATGTTGGTTGTTTGCATTGCCCAACAGCCTTTTTTGCAGATAAGTAGCAAGGAGGTAACATCTTAGATTAACAGAAATGAGCTAGGAAACGTAATAACCCAGCCTTAGTTATTAAAATTACTTCATTTAGATATCTGCTTACCTTACCGCAAAATAACATCAGGAACATCTTTGTATCCACCCATAAACTTCCCATGTAAACAATAGGGAAATCAAACATTGACAGAACTTTTAATAACATTTAATTTAACATGTTATCTAACATTTAATTTAACATTTAATCTTCGAAAGGGCCTCAAAAAAGCTTTGAAGACCAGCTGAAATATGAAAAAAATATAAAATATGAAATATGAATATGAAGGTCTACCAACCCAGGTTAAAATTGTCTTTTACTGCAATAAATTTCATTTTCTTTCTTAGACATTGTTTTCAATTTCATAATAAATCATTTTAAGCGACAAAACTTGCAGTAAAATTACTCTATGAATATAAGAATAAATGCCGCGAGCTTGT